CTAACCCTAACCCTAACCATATCAGATAGTTACCAGGGTACGTTCCGGCAGTACCCTGGTGGACATAGACCCTATGAGCAGTACTGACAGTGTCAGTAGTCTGTACTGTAGTCATACTTGTTCAATGGGGTTAGCCGCTAGTTTTGTCAGCAGGTGGCGCAGCGGGAGCAGCAGTTGTAGAGCTGGTTGTGCAATGACCCATGGCAGATGTAAACATACGCTGTGGCTATATGCCCGGCAGCCGGGCACGGTCTTTGATTTCCTAAATGCCCGGCAGTTCCTAACCCTGACCCTTGTTTACTTGAGATAACGCTGAAAATTAAAAACTGCCGGGCATTTAGGAAATCGATGACCGTGCCCGGCTGCCGTCAGATATATGCCGGCTGCCGGTCATATAGCCATTCTGGTAAACATACTGTCATACATCGATCACACATAGCCGATCCTATATATTTTAATCAACATATCAGAACAAATCGAACATATTTATACCTAACTTTAAGAGCTCCTGATAGTACTATTCTCCCTTTAACCCAATATATAAGTTTTGCTCTATGTCTGTTGATATAATCGATTAAATAGCCAGATGTCTCTAGGTACTAGAACCGCTAGTCGAGTAAGTTTATAACCACCGGCGATCGGTTTTTTGCGACTATTTTGATCAACATATCACACCAAATCGAACATCTCTAGGTACTAGAATCGCGAGTTACCCAAGTTGGGGCATGTATACATTAGGTGACACAGGCCTTGTTACTTGTGTCAGTGATAGCTATGGTGGAGCACGCCGTCAATGGTCAAAGGAAAATCCTAACTTCATGCAGAGACAGTTGTTTTGGATAGACGTATCGCATCTAAGAGGATTCGTGTAGAGGGTCATTGGTCCAAGCAAGACATTTAAAATATTAAAACAAGACCTGCCCCATCAGAAAATTTCTCTCGGTGGAAGAATTGTCAAGGTGTGCTTCATGATTTCTAACTTTAGGCGAGCTATTGTCAGCAGTAATGCCTAGTGTCTGTAGTAAATGGCTGCGTTTTAGAAATAAAGATATACATAATTTGTATGGCAACTTGGGTCTTTGTAACTTATCTCAATCAATATATTACAGAACTCCTGAGCACACTTAAAAGAATTACCACCCAATTCACATATGCACGACTAATATCACCGTGAATCTCAATAAACATATTACAGAACTCCTGAGCACACTTAAAAGAATAAACATCCACTTCACATATGCACCACTATTATCACCGTGAATCTCAATAACAAAATGGTATATAAAAATAACCATTAACAGCATACTGTAATGTAACTGAGTAACCTAATGTTCCACTTTATTATAAAAAGCACGTGATGGATTAATTGTGAACATGATTCAAAATACGTGGCCCTGCGTAATGACAATCCAGGGACTGCAGTACTTTGTCCAAATGGCTAGCCCAATGTGATGGGAGAGCTAACAGGTTTTGTATAGCAGCAATGGTGTCTTCAGGGTCGGTGGTGACAAAGGTGATGTCATTCAAAGATGGCACATGGCTAAGCAACAAGCAGCTGCTCGTGTTCCCAGTCGATATTCCTTGTGTGTCAAGTGTGTCCAATGGCTTTATGAATTTTAAATTTTATTCACAGTATTTACAAAAGGTTTGATTTTAAAATATATAGAGTACTCGTTTTATGTAGACTGGTCCCGGTGTCAAGCTTGCTCTGTTTGGGCTAGAGAACTGCTTGTGCTGGTACAAACACTGGGGTCGTGAACCAGTCTACGTTTCCTGCAGAACACTACGATCTGGTCGGTGCTGTAAATACTGATCGGAGATTTGCAGCCCAAAATCACCTCAAATCGACATGAGTTTTATTACGACGTCAATAGGCGATAAATTAGACGGGTCATAGGGTGACCTGAGCCGGCTTTACGGAACTGTGTAGTAGGGTCGTTCACACAGTAATATACACACTCATACATAATATACATACTCATATTACAGTAATATATTAAAATGAATCTAATTTAATATCGATTTATAAATTTCAGTTATGCGAAGATGTATATGTATATGTATTTGTGATCGCAGACACTTGTGAGAAATTTAGCTCGGTTGATTCTGAACATTCTGTACTGCAGTAATTAACTGGGCTGTAATTTGCAGGGCCCTTACTCCCCACGATAACCCCTGCGACATAAGAACTTCCCTGAACTTATTATTATGCGGTCATAAAAACACTGGGCTACGCTACATGCTGCAATCGATTTCTTAGAGTGTCGCGAGGTTTTGTTTGTGTGGCGATTCATGCATTGAGCGAGTTCATGCCCTCAGCTCTAGATGTTTTGGATACCCCGTCTACGTTCAGGAATGGAGCGCATTATTAGAATACGCTCCCATTTACAAGTCTGTCTAAACTGCCATTGCGATAACCGTAGTATTTCAGCGTAATATGAGGGGAAAAAGTGCTAGTCAGGAGGACCGGCAGTTTCGTAGAGATAATTGCCCGAGCCAAAACTTGGTGGCTTCGGGCCTCCGGGTCGGCACTAATTTCGAACGCTGGTCATATGCTTCCAGTCTGTTGAAAATAAATAAATAAATAAATTCAGCTTGAATCGCAAATGCAACATCGACCTTACCTTTTAAACTAGCTTTAGTACTATAGCCCATGACTTGTTGCCACAAGGTTGACCTGACTTGTAGCATGTGGCCTAAGCCTATATTACCATCTCTCTCTCTCTCTCTCTGTCTATTATACTCTATATATATTATAGAGCAACTTTTAAACAAGCTTGAACATCGAAGCAGGGTCTCAAACGTTTTTTTTTAACGAATTACTAAATCTACGACCAAATAATGCGAAGGAAAGTCTTAACCTACATCTAGAATACAGTAGGAAAATGCTTTCCAAGACAGTGTTTACAAGCCGCTTCTAAAAGCGTTCATCTGCCGAGATTTCACACGCCGATTCTGACCAAAATTGTGCATTATCACTCATAAACACAACGTATTTAGTGCAACATAGTTCTTACCTTTGTATCAAATCTTCTTTGCGACCTCTTGTCGATGCTCCTCTTTCATAAAGTTTACTTTTAGAGAGTGTACGGTAAGTTTGTCATATGTTGCCATTAGTGTATCCAGGGTGTGCATCCATGTACGCGGATAATCTTGCACCACAGTCTTCAAAGTCTAAGGGACTCACTATATCAAAGAGGGAAAGAGACAAAAGTTGATCAAATGGACAGATCACACTGTGGATTGCAGTTTAAATTTACAATTAACTAAAGAGGAAGGGAGAGAATTCCAATACGGAATGACAGAAAAACAACACTTATTATTTGACCTAATTCCTAACTCGGCAACAATATATGTGTATTGCATGTAACAAATGGCACATGTAATTAATGCATGACTTAACTTTAATGTAAATGGCCCACAACTTAACAATCTAATGTAGCTAATATTTAGAAAAATAAACAAATACCAAGCAATGGAAGAAATCTTATTCTTAGCCGATAATAACCGGCTGATTTAATAAGTTGTGTTTTTCTTGCAGGTTTATTGAATTTCATGTATTTTTTCATGTAGCCTGGTACTGATCAAATCTGACACAATGTCAGAAAGTCGTGACGTGCATGAAATTGCAGACAAGCCATACAACCTTCTGCAAGAACAGTTGTCTAAAGCAAAAGAGGTGAGTGCACAATATATCTTTAACTTCAACACTTAAAATCTGACAATCATATGTAACACCCTAATCCGCTCGTAGGGTCTATGTCCCCCTGACCTCTGTTTGACCTGGCTCGTTTAGCTATTTTCGACTAACCCGAACCCTAACCCTAATATATGATATATATATATATATTGGTCAGAAATAGCTAAACGAGCCAGGTCAAACAGAGGTCAGGGGGACATAGACCTTATCTGCCCCTAATCCTGTTAGTCTATGCACAGGCCAGCAAGCTAATTGCTAATTGTAAAGCCAATTTTTTGGATACCATAGGTCACCTCACAGAAGTTATATCTGTTAATTTTTTTCCCATTTATTAGCAGCTATGCTGGTATGTTTCTGTGGCTTTGCATTTTATTTTTAAATGGTTGAACATTTATATATTGTTATTTGCTGGTGGTGAGTGTGTTAAATGTGTGACAGTTTTTGTAGACTAGTGATGAAAATATGAATCCAAGTTACATCATATTTCGTTCCATATCTTATACACATGATATCGGAATCATAATAGGAGATTAAGCTGAAAGATGAGGAGGTGGGAAAATTATCCAAAGTTAGAGATCAAGTAGGATTGGAATTGCAAGACCTCACAGCAAGTTTATTTGAAGTAAGTATTTTATTATTACTGTTAACTCATTATTGTATATTATTCAAATACGAGTACATGTAAAGAATCAAGTTTTTACAAAAGGAAAAAAATGGATAGATGCAATAGTGTAAAATCTGTTACAATATTTTATGATGTAATGAAACATTTTAAATATTCTAAAATATGTCATGTAATGAGGATAGACGTTTATACTATAAAATGTGTTTATTCTAATAATATAATCATACAATGTACTGCTATGATGCTTCATATATATATATATGTGATTTATACAATAAAAGAGATTTGCTTTTATGGTTAAACCTTCAATGATATTTAGTTGCACAGCAATCAATATAAAATTTCAGTAATACCCCAATTGGCATGAATTTACTTTTAGCTAGCAAGCCATCTAGTTTTCAATAGCCAATTTTCGTACCTGATGGTGTGTTGTACGGCTGACAGCTGATGATAGCCATGCACTCATTTCAGAGAATAAATTTATGATATAAACGTATATACTTGCATTATTTTAGAAAAGGACCATGTACTATTCGTAACAATCTGTAAAAGTCTAGGAAAAAACCATAAATTAAATCCACGTCTAGCTAATACCCCTGTCACACCTACCCGCGATAACGCTCGCGCTCCCACTGCGACCTGAGAAGTATGAAAGCGCGAGGAAAAGCGCAGTAAGGTCTCTGAGAACGAGTTGGTGACGCAGTGGAAACTGTCAAGCACGGAAAAGGGTCGCCATGAGCTACCTTGAGCACGACACCTCGGCGCTTGTGTTGTTCCGAATCAAAACAAGCGCAGCGGGTCCGCGCTCTGTAATGAGCGGTGTAATGACGCAGTACAGTCGCCATGGCAGCGCAAAGCGAACTACATGAGCTTATCGTGGACGTAGCAACAACGCATAGAAGCGACTTGGGGTTGCAGAAATCGTCCCCTGCGACTGGTTTGCGACTGCTGTACACTCATTGAGCTCTCCATACGTGCCTCTCCCGTTCTTATTGCGCCGTTACGGCGCTTCCACTATGCTTTCTAGGCTTGTTTCCGCTCATTCTACGTCCACACTGCGCTGCCACTGAGACTATGACGCTCGTAATACGTCCAAGGCGTTGTTCCCACGTTTGCAATAGGCTCACAGAGCGTTCTTATTACGATCCCACTTTCACTGACCCCCCCCCCCTCACACACACAGTTTTGTATAAATACAGCTTCATCTTCTATACACAATCAGTGTGCATCTGCTCTTCACCATGACCGCAGGCAGGCAGAATGTGCTAATTGTACTACAGTTAGCACATATGCAGGCACAAGATGACCAGGCCCTTGTCAACATCATTAGAAGAAGAAGAAGAAGGAGGAGGGAAAGAAGGGAGAGGAGATGCTGGGTTCGATCATGGTTAGACGTGGGGCAAGAAGAGTTCAGTTTGGCCACTATCACTGTCTAATGGCCAAGCTACGACACGAAGACCCTGCATCCTTCTTGTTGTCAGCAGGCTCAGGAACAGGCTCAGATGGAACAGGACTGGACGACCGTGGAGACGATGGAGACGGCCTTCCTCGACCCCTGCCTCTTCTTTTTGGCATGGTGCACAGCGTGAGAAACAAGCGGTCGCCCAGTCGCCAGTGGCGATTAGAAAATCGACCGGGCGACTGCTTGCTCGTGTCAGCGCAGTGTGGACGTAGAATGAGCGAAAACAAGCCTAGAAAGCGTAGT